ATTTTAAATTTTGTCAAAATATTTATTCTTTATTACTAGTATCCTTTACATTTAATTTATCTTATTATAGAACAATTAGAGCTCTTTTCCAAGGGCCAGGTGGACGCTATCCAAGAAGAAAATGAACAGGGTGAAGATCCTGATGCCATAATTGTGCCCGACGGTGAGTTAAACTCCTTTATTTATACTTACTGTTTCTTCGATATTAATCTATGAAGCTAATGCTATTTTAATATTAAGCAATTACTCTTTGGCCTTTCACGTCTATTTTTTTCTGATACTACGTGTGCATTTTTGTTACTTCTTGATCAAAACTAAACTTGAATCCAATGTATAGCCCAACCTGAGGATTTTCAAGTCTTTTAAATCTTTTTATCTAAGCTATTTTTTCACATTGCTACTTTTATTCTGGAGATTAATTATTTTATATCAAATTCATTTTCAGTATATTACTGTCTTCACTTTTCTTACTAAATTTAAAGTTTATTTCAAGACCAACGACTGATTTTTTATTTAAGAGCTTCGCGCTACTTAGTAATAATTAATGTTCTTATTTTGTATTCTTGACTTCAGAGGAAGTTATTGGTTCTGGAGTTCCTTCGGGTCCTGGAGGTAGCGGTGGAAATGACGGTGTAACTGGTGCAGGTGGGTCTTCAGCTGCTGGCTCCAGTTCTATCTGCGGCGCTAGTGTTGTCGGAAGTTCTTCAGGCCTCGGATTAGGAAAGCTCTCGGAGACAGATATGAAACGTTTGGCTATTAAAAAAGTACGCTTTGTTTCACTATCCCAATTTTTATGCTTGATTTTCTCTCTCTACATTGATATCTTAGTCAATTCTGAAAACTATTTTAACTGAAAGCGTTGTCTTATCCATTCTGGCCTTATGAATGTAGACGGACTAAGCTGGTCCAATTACTTGTCGCGTTCTCCATATATTCTACATGAGTTTTCAATACACGATTTGCCGACTTAGTACAATAAATAGTTTTTTTGGGAGTTTTGATATCCGTTAGAACACAGGCTTCTAAATTATTTTGGTTTTTTGATAAAAATCGGCTTTTTGACTACCTCGCCAAACAATCACTACTTTTTTTAAATGCTTTTCCATTATTTGAATTCGTTTTCTTTGTTCTTCAATCATCATATACTCATTACTTGCATAGATTTATGATCTGCTAATAACAATTTTTCTCTATTATTTTTTCTTCATTCCCAATAAACGACTCAATTTCTTCCCTCTGCCAAAATCATGATTTCAAAATTGTTGATCCCGACATATTTTTGAAATTGACAGGAGGAGGTAAGTTATGTTAGAGACTTCGTACTTATTTTAAAAAATTTTATTTTCTAGGATAAGGTAATTTAGTTGAAAATACTTGATTTTTATTTTTTTATTTTATATCTATCCACCTAGCGACGACTCAGATAGCTTCTATTTACGTAATATTTTAG